TACTTCAGGTGGAAGTTGTTCGGGTAATGATGGCTGAAGATAAGTAGATCCAGGTAAACTGATGTGTTTGGCTTGAACATGGCTAGACCTCTGGTAGCCACTTCTTCATTGTTTTGTTGTTGTTTTCTTGGGTGGTTTTTTTAGTTCAGGCTTTTACTACTATAAGAGCGTTGCAGGCATGGATTTAGTTGTTGGTTGGGGTTTTTTTATTTAATTGGACACAGGGATTGTCACTTTCCTTTCTAAATTGTCAGCTACTCACCACTGTTGGACAGCTTTCTAATTCATTCCAGAAGTCAGTGTATTGTATTACTACATAAAAATGAGTAAATCACCCTAAGACTCTGCAAAAGTAAAGACAGTAATTTAAACAAAGTAGTATGAGAGTGTATCACTGTAACTGTTTCCACAATGTGTCAGTGGCCAATTGCTACAAAAAATATATAACTTATTTTGTGGTTACCTGTGTGGCAGGGGGGTGATCCCAAAGGGATCAGGATCCAATTGAGAGAGCCCTTAGCTTCACCACAAGAAATAAAGTTATCTCAATTACCCAGGAAGGCAGAACTAATAATTTCAACTGTAATGAAGCACAAGAATCCTAGTACCAGATCGAGGCCCCCTGAACTCACCTTTTACAAACATTGAAGAGACAAATTACCTGAGAGAATTTACAGTGCATATACTGGAACAGAGACCAAACAAGAGATGCCACAGTGGATGAGCAGAGGGAGGTAGTGGGCAACACGGCTAAAGCACTGCGGCTTCAGGCAGCCTGCAGCCCCAGCTGCTCCATATGGCTTAAGAGACCCACAGGGGTTAATACAGTTAACTTCTAACTCCTCCACAGAGACAAAACTACGGAAGTGAATGTCTGCTTGTGGATATTTTAAACAAAAAAGAAAACATATGGCCCTGTGGAACTGCGCTTGCTGTTTCACCAGCTGATATGACACAGAGAACAGATAGATAGCCTAGGCCTAGAAGTAAATGCAAAAGCCTTATTGCAAGGAGACATTAAAGACCAATTTAGGGAACATGCTTCAGTTTTAGAAATTCTCAGATTTAGGAAAACGGAAACACAAAAAAGGAGAATGCTCACGTACACTAACTAGTAAAACATTTAAAACCACAAAATACCTTAGCTGTATGAAACAGCAGTTTCTCATCCATGTGAGGAATATTTCTGTGAACTATGAAAGACAACTTAGAATGAATCATTAAAACCAGCTTTTTCTCTGCAAGATGTTATTTTCACAGAATCATCTAGGTTGGAAAAGACCTTGAAGATCATCCAGTCCAACCATTAACCTAACATTGACAGTTCCCAACTACTCCATATCCCTCAGTGATATGTGGACCCTACTCTTAAACACCTCCAGGGATGGAGACTCCACCACCTCCCTGGGCAGCCCATTCCAACGCCCAACAACCCGTTCTGTAAAGAAATGTTTCCTAATATCCAGTCTAAACCTTCCCTGGTGCAACTTGAGGCCATTTCCTCTTGTCCTATCGCTTATTACTTGGTTAAAGAGACTCATCCCCAGCTCTCTGCAACCTCCTTTCAGGTAGCTGTAGAGGGCGATGAGGTCTCCCCTCAGCCTCCTCCAGACTAAACACCCCCAGTTCCCTCAGCCGCTCCCCGTACGACCTGTGCTCCAGACCCTGCACCAGCTTCGTTGCCCTTATTTGTGATTCTCCACATAGATTAGTAAGGAGCAAAAATTAAAACAGAAGAATGGGCTTTATTCAGAAGTCTGAAAAGAAATATCAGTAATTTCATTTATAAAATCAGAAATGTCATTAAAAAGTGTAATCATGTGGATTAAAATCACAGGTGTGATAAACAGTTGAGGGCAGTCTGATACACTTCTTTAAATTCAAGTCCTGAAACATGCTGACAAACATTTCACAGTACAAATTCATTAGGTACTCAGGGCCCAAAGGCAGAGGCAGTGTGTGCAGACACAGTCCCATGGACTGCAGAAACCCAGCAGGAGCGCCCGCAGCTCTTTTGGGGCTGGAGTTGTGCACTCCCCAGGGACAGCAAGGCCAGGGGGGATCTTAAGAACTTGTCATCTAGTCCAACCTCTTCAAGAGGATGAACTGTGCCTTAAACATTGCCAATATTTAAAGTATTCTTTGTTGAACTTTAAAACTTGTGTATATGATTTTATAATGTTCTCAGGAAATGTACTGCCAGGCTTTGCAAAGTTACCATCAGGAATATTTTCTCCTAATGTCTAATCTAAAGGTAGGCAATTACCTGTCCTAGGAACAGGGGATTTGGAGAACAAGGTTTGGCTTTTTACTGTCGTCTCTGCAATAGCTTTTTACAAGTATGAATACTCCTTTAGTCGTTGCTCCTGCAGACTAAACAAATTAAATTCTTTCAGTTTTTACACACAAAATGTGTGCGTAGCACTCTCATCTTTCTTGTCTCTCTCCACTGGACTCTTTCCAATTAGCCCCCAACCTCCCTGAAGTGTGGTGCCTGAAACCAGATATATTATTCCAGCTCAGACCTCATTAGACATTATTAGGCCTAATTAGAATAAAAGGTTACTTCATGTGAATTTAATGGGGAATGCCTATTTATTCAGTCTAATATGAAATTTGCTTTTTCACAATAACATGACACTATTGACCCATGATTAGCTTGCTACTCACTGGAATGCACATCCTTTCCCACAGAATTACCACAACTAGACATGTCTCCTCCATCCTCTATTTGCTGCTTAATTCAATACTTTCTATTTGCTCTTAATGAAGCAAATCCTACTTATGTCACCCAATTTCAGCAATTAATTTAAATAACTTCTTGTTCTAATCTATTTACTCCAATACACTTTCAGCCTTTATCAGCAACATTTACTTGTAAATGAAATATCTATTGCATAATCCAATCTATTTTATAAAGTATATCGAGTATCATAAAATTGATCGAAGTAAAGGCCTTCTTATTGCATCCCTCTAGGCAACAGTAGAATGCAAACAACCCCAAGTACAAATCACTCTTGTAGATCCATTTAAACTATGCTTCCTGCACTGGCTATGAAAATGTCAAAAGCAGTTTTTACCAAAAGCACCTTTCCAAAATCAAGATGCATCAGTTTTGCAGCTTCTCTGTTCACAAGTCAATTATTCTGTCACAGAAGTCATTATCTGATAGGATTTATCTGATATGGTATTTTCCCTTTTCTCTGAAACTGTGTATGAAAATAAGAGAACTCTGGAATTGAAAAAGAGGTACAGGAACTGTTTTCCATCAGAATGAACATTAAAAGCAACTAAAATGTGTATTTTAATTTGCAAAGATCTTCAGGACAATGAAAACCATGAAGATAACAGCAAGAACTCAAAACCAGTTCTGAACTTTCAGATTTCATTCAGAGATATCTCACAGTAATTCCATGTCTGAAACCATATTTTTAAAGAAAATGTTGGAAAAAAATGGACCACTCTACTTTATGAAAATAAATCTCTCTACTGTATGAGGAGTCATGGAGTTAGGCTAAATTCAAATGTAACTCTACACATTTCTCTCTTCCAGTCCACCTGCATCTACTGCCTTCCGTGGTTAGTAGTCAAAGCTCACTCTCACTAAGAGATGCCTCAAGTCATAAGTATACTTACCCTTTCTCATCTGCCCAATTTTTAGATCTTTGTTGCAGAGACTGTAATTCCTACTTGCTAATTTCACAGTTCCCCATCTGTCCAAAATTAAAGCCTCAATCATTATTTCAATATATTGGTGCCATAAGAGTCCTCCTTGTCTTAGCCATAAACTGGTCCACCTTACCTTATGCATTAAATAGGTCAAGGGAACGTGTAGCTGTCCTTACCCAATTGTATTTCCTTTAACAGAAATGCTTACTTCTTCCAGATGTCCCTGTGTCTAGATTAAGATCCAGAATTAAAAGCCAACAAAACCTGGCCATTATTCTTCTACAGACTTTGGTGAATTCTGGATCAGTCTGTTGGTGAACAAAATTCTTTCCCTACCTGTCCTATTTTATTGAAAACATTGCTGTCCTACACACTCAGACAGAAGCAGTAGATCTTTAATTAGTCTACTTTTATGTACAGGTTATGTTCTATAGATGATATAAAATGTTAGTGACTGTCACATGCTGGACTAGGACACACTGATGCCACCATGCTACACAACTGTTCAAAGAGAAAGAACCAGGATTCACAAACTTAATGGAGGCTCTGTAACAAATCCATTAAACATCACACCTGTAATAGATTAATCAAAACCACTTAATTAATTAATCTGATTTTTATTGTTGTACTTGATGTTACAAATAAAATATAATTTTAATATTTAACTTACAAAGTTTTCACATGTCCATGTAAAACCAACAGTAGGTTTAAATTAAAATTGCTTTCTGGAGGCAACAGCTTTTTCTTTAACTTCAACAAGATTCTAACTTTATAAGAATAGAGAAATGTGTAAACATAAACGTTCATGATTTTATTCTGTACACATCTGTGTAAATTAGTTGATACAAATATAATTTACTATAGAAACTTTTTTTTGTTTGTTTTTGCTACACACAGTTCTACGCTGGCATGACATACTAGTTGATTAGTCTTTCAAAGAGTGAGATTTATGCATTTTGCATTCTAACCCCCAGTATGTCCATTGCCAGCAGTGGACTTCAGAGTTCAGAGAATCAGACTCACAGTGTCAGCAATCTAAAATTAAACTTCATTACAAGATTATAAATAATCAAAAATGAATGCATCATTTTCATATCATAATCGCCAGATGCTTAAAGGCCATGATCCAAGCCAACCAAAATCAACGACAGTTTTCCCATTGACTTAGCTGGAATCCACCCGCAGTTCCCAGTCACTGGAGATTCTCACTTTAGCTTTGCGATTTTATCACAGTATGAAGAGTTAAAAAGTGCGTAGTATCACAGCTTCAGCGTGAGAAGTAAAGCCTCTAGATCTTTCTGGGCCTCTTTATCCTGAAAGAAACAGACGATCATGCATCAAGTTAGATAGGATTAAATCCCTTCATTTGACTAATACGTGCCTATCCACATTTCTTTACTAACAACAGACATAACACACAACTGCAACAGTCACAGAATGTAGACTGCATAGTAAGCTAATTTATCAGTGAACATAAAAATAAAGTTTGAAGTGAAAACAAGAGCCAGATGGCAGCCCTCCCTTTACAGCTCTGTTAAAGCACTTAAAATGTTAGCCACAAATAGCCTTCTCAGCAGACCAGTAAGCCTTTCAGCTTAGGCCATAACTTTTATTGGTGTACTTTGCACAAAGTACTGCCTTGCCTTATACTTTACATAATCTTGCAACCTGACCATGTGCAGTTTTTCTAAAGAGATTTCCATGATGTTTGCTAATGATTTTTTATGCAATTAACATGAAAGCATTGGGAAATTTAATTAATGACACAGGTTAGATTGTGGTTTCAGTGCATACAGCCATACCTACCTGCAATAACCACTATGGACTGGTTACACCCTCAGTATCTTCCATACTGGTGTTGGTGGGCTCTGCCTACGCTACTGGGCTCAGAGCAGAGTGGAGCCAATGGGGGAGCAAGAGGAAAGTAATTCTGCTATGCTCAGAGCCAACACTATATTACATCTCCTATGACAGAAGGGAAAGGCTCCTTTTAGGCCAACGTGTAAGCACAGTTTGCACGGGGCTTTAAACCAAACCCAGCCCACAGACTCTTTCACAGGTAACCAGCGACATATGTTTTGGCTATTCCATGTATCATCTGTTTGGAAAGGGGTACACGCATATGAACATGTAACCACAGTACAAAAACTCCATTATTCTACTTATTTCGAAATGTCTCCTGGATATAATTCACTTGCTTTACTTGTCACTGCAAAACTTCTAGCTTGCAAAATGCACCTTGGTTTAAAACCACACTTTCTAAGAAGTCAGCACCTTGTACCTGCAAGCTGGTTAAACACCCAATACAACGCACCCATGTGTACTGAGCACTGCAAGTGAAAAGCACCAGCACATCACAAATTTTGTGCAAGAATTCCTAATGACAGAGAGCAGTATTTCTTTCCCAGATAACACCACAGGCAACTCTGAAAGAAAATAATGTAGACAGACAGTGAAGTAATCACTGAATTTCTGGATCACTTCATTATCCAATCAACCAAAGAGCTGGAACAAAATACAGGACATTTTAAAATATATTTTACGGGTGAAGAAATTCCTGCTTCTCTTTATTTTGGTTAGTTGTCTATAATGTCATGGAGGAATAGAGAAGAATATTGAGATGATAGAAACCATATGCCAGATATGTCAAACCACATTATATTATTGGTCTGGATTAAGGCATTAATACATTAGCTGGACACTTCTCTTGGAGTCGCTGCTTTGCTCCCATTGGCAACAATAGGCTAAACTATCTGCCTAATCATTTATCAGAGGCCTTAAAAGGCACACACTGCACAGCCAGTAAGCTCTTGCCAAAATACTCTAACAGAAGGAAATGTCACACTGAATTCAGCACTCCTTAAATTCCACGTCACTGCAGGCTGCCTGGAGTACCAGCCTGTGGCTTTCAATAAAAACTGGAAAACTCAGAATTTGTATCAATATATTGATTAATTCAGGGGAAATACGCTTTTTTTCTGTACTGCCTGTGGTCAACTTGTGAAAATGATTCTAAACTCCATTAAACAAAAAAGTAAAAACCCAGGTATTGTCCCATGCTATTAAGAAAATGGAAGAGGTTTTGCTGTATCTAGTCCTATTCTTTTCAAACTTTTCTAAGCCAAAAATTATGAAGATGCAGGTTTTTTCACATCTGAATGGTGTTCAGCATTCCATGGGTTGATGGGAGTCTTTATTCACTTTGCAGGATACAGCATTTTAAAAATATATCTCCCAACAACTTTGTATAACTGTCTTTCTCCTTAGAATCAAAGGATTATATTGGGCAATGAGTTTTCATGAGTTGCAAAGGTCCCCGAAATATTGGGCAATCTTCTCTGAATCTTTCTTTGGGCTTAGAAAAGAGAATAAAACAAACCCATGATTGTTCTAAGAACTAGCTGGAGAAGAAACTGCAAATGCACAGTGTCCTACCTCCGGGTTGCCAGTTCTGTACAAGACTACATCAGTAAAAGCAGGAATTATTATTGCTGCAGACTACTTAATGGACTGCGTTAATTGATCCAGCAGCTTCCAGTCAATAGTAAGAACTCAGATGGCAAAAGCACCAAAAAAAAAAAAAAATCAGTAATGGCATTAAAAACAAAGCTGAAAATGGTCAGCAAAGGGAACTATTACATCACTTTGGATAGAGTCCTTCCAGACCAAGAGGTGTGTCACGCTAGAAGGAGAGAGAAGCCACAACACTGTTCAGTGTACCAGTCTCCAGTTTTAAGGATGAAAACTTCATTAATGATCAAGGCTTGACTGTTAATGGAAGACAAAGCCATAAATCCTGTATTTAGCCAGCTCTCTTCCTCATTGATTTCTGTGGCTTTCTAAAAATGAACAATAAGGTTGGCTTTTTCGGTATGTTTTGTTTTTTAAGACAGGCTGATTTTGATCTCCCTTTAGAAGGCAGCAGGGAGAGGAAGAGGTGCAAGTCATAGGAGGAATGCAATATATTTGTGTCAGTCTCATTTGTTCACCCTGAGGCTTAGTTCAGTGCTGACTGAATACACAGCCATTTTCAACCTTGACTTTCTACTGTCAAGGCTTACATTTATTAAACACTTCTCATATCATTTTCAGAGTTGAATATGAGTTCAAAATGTTCCGCAAACTGCTACACAAAAGGGATTCAAATTACGGGGTCAGTGACCGTGTTTTCCCTCTTCCTATTCAGTTACTTTTCTTTTATGTTTCATCCTCCATAGGGGATATGCACAGGAAGAAAAGACCTGGGAGGCCAGGGACTGAACAAGGGAAGAGAGGGACTTGAAAACAAGAGCAAGATGGAAGAGAAAATCAGTGGGAAAAACAGTATGTTGGCTTAAGTAGAGGTAATCTACATTTTGACAGTTAATTTCTGTTGAAAAATTTTACTGATAAATATATATACACACAGACATTCACATATAAATGTGCATGTAAAAATTAAATGTCAATTAAAGCAGAGATGGAAAGATAATGATTTTTCCTTCCTTCTCTGCTAATTATTTCCTTATGCACTAAACACACTCAACTCAGGCACTGCACATGTGTGCACTTGTTGACAAAGTCCCAACTGTCAACAGAGAATGATACACCCCCATGACCACAACCAAAACGGTTACACCAGCCAACTATAACATAATTGTGTGCAACCACTGCCAAATCCCAAGCTGACATGCATCCCGTGGAGTTTCATTGAAGTCAACGGGGCTGCATGGTATGTTAAATGAGCTGGGCTGCAAGGGTGGTCCAAAGCTGTGCTCTGATACACAGCAACAGCAATGAGGTGCTTAGAGCCACTCCTGCTTTTGGGTCCAGCTGTATCATTCCTTCACAGCTCCAGGAGAAATCCTGGATTGTAACAGAAGAGACTCCCAAACATGCACAAAGGAGTGTTAATTAAAAAGTAATAGCTCTTGTGGACAATACAAGTCATATAAAGCTATATACTATCCCTTCCCAGTTTCATGATAGACTCTCACAGATGGTATGACTGTAGTGGGTGTCAATTTGCATACAATTGCATAATGCTGTTTTCTCCCTTAGATATTTCAATAAACCAATGCAATCATCCACTTTCAACCTTCTATATGACTGCTGTATGTCACAAGATATGGCATTTTAAGTTCTTTCATATTTTTAATACCTTCCTCTGGGGATGAACCACGATTCTCGAGGCTTTTTGGATCAAGGCAAGTACAGCTTTAAAATATGCAGCTGACAATAATTTCACCTTTTCTGATTATACTTCAAGTAGAGGGAAAAACACCCTTTCACACACAGAAGACTGTGAATAAACAGTTCAGCTAGTTCAAGGACTGTTGTTGAAAAATTACAAAATGGCAGAATGCAATTTAGAATCATTAATAGTCAAGTAAAATTTTCATCCACAAGTTCTTTTCCAACTTAAAAGACTAAGTTTCACCTTTTACTATTGTACACAACGTAGAGCTTTTGGTGTTCAAGGCATTCCTCTCTTTCTGTGCAGCTGCTGCCCCCACTACGATGGCAACTACAGCCCTTCTTTCTGTGCAGTCATTGCTGAAACGCCTTGAACATAATCACACCCAGTTACAGTTTCTTCAGAAAGATCCCTGTTGAGCTTTCTTTCACCCTGTATATCGACTCTGAGACAATGTATTTCAGACTCCTGGAAGCTTGACTTCCCCTGGCCACTCTATAAAAATATGAAACCAGTTGCGAACCTCTTCATCCTGCAGGCTGTGAATATGCCACCCCTGTGAATACTTCTCCCACTCTGCCCCTGCACCGTGAGCATGCCAGCAGGGACACACTCCATGCTTTGAGGAATCGGCTGTTGATCCGTCTTGCTACACTAAGAACTATGCTAAAACTGTGTTACCTTTGACAGGATGTTGAAATGAATACTTTGTGATAAACTAGTCAATTAAATCATAAATATAAGCTTGGTATTTATCATGCTAGACTTTACCTTATGTATGAAACTACTACATTATAAAAAATAGCTTCATCATTTTTTGGAATCACTTTTGGAGGGGGAGAAAGAATAAGCACACAATGCAAACAAACTGTTTGGCACAAACTTCAAAAACATGCAGACGGCAAATCAGTCTGATCACTAAGATAGAAAAAAAAATAGACTGTATTCACTGAAGTGCAAACTAATGCAAAATATAGGAGGTCTCAAATTCTTTTAGAAGCCCTTTTACAAATGTCTCATTTTTCCCAGCATTTTACAGTTTGAAATCTGATCTCTTTATAATGAGTTTTTAAAAGGCCCATTCCCTGAGCTGGAAGCACTCATACTCAGGGTAAAGAGAATCACTAATTAAGGGGTTTTTAAAGTATATTCAAAAAATACTTTAATTTTGGGTTGGTGGTAGCTATTAGGAAATTCTTGGTCAATGCCACAAACAGTATTAGCAGGAAAACAATAGCCTAGAATTCAAACTGAACACAAATCTGAATACTTCCATTATTTTGTAATTGAAACACCATGGACTTTTGCTTGGCATTTGGAGAACAAATGTGTATAAAATCTAAAGGAATGAATATCCTCTGAAAACAATGACATTTTGTATTGAGCTGATGGTGTTGAGAAAAGAAAATGTTCTGTTTGCTGAGAAAACAGAAACATTTTTTATAAGGTTAACCCAAACTATTCACATAGTTTCAATAGGTAGCTTTTTCATAAACAAGTCATAATTTGTACCTTTTGCTTAAATTTGCAAATTAATTTTTTTCTCCTCAAAATCTTACTTAAAAGGACAGATTACCACAGCAGCTTCAAATGACATCTGTTGGAAATATGACAGCAAATTCTGCTACATATGACCAATCTGTGGTGGCTGGAGTAGGCATTTCTTGGAAAATCTATTGTGGAAAATTCAAGATATACAAATGGTCTGTTCTAACAGGAACAACTGATGGGTGCTGAAGTTTATACTCTGCCTTCTCTTCCATCCCTCTGTGACTCCCATGCTCTTCCTTACAGTCAATATTAAAAATGTAAATTAATGTCCAGAAAGATCAATTATGGTGATGTGAAAAAATGTAAGAAAATCTTACGGGCATGATTTCTCCTCAGCAGCTGCATTCTTGTGTAAACATTCAGCCATTGTTCCTGTCCATTATTACATTTACCTCCTTCTCCACATGGGCTTTTCTAGTTTCAAATGTCACTGAGGCCAAAGGCAGAGCCTTTAATAAGTCTCTGCTTCCTGCTATTCTACACCTGTAAGAAGTGAATGTCATAATGATAAATTTCTGTAATATCTAAATCTCTCTCACTTGTTAATTTCAACTCCAAATTGCTTGCATTTGTAATTGCTGGGAAGGAGGGAGTGTTCTGAAATGAAGATTTATTTTTTTTTAACTTACCAATAACTTTTATAACATACATTCTCAGCTTCAGGGAAGTTTTTATCTGCATTTTAAGTAAGACTTCTGGCAACTCTCAGTGCAAATAGATTTGCTTTGCACTCTTCCTGCTTTGTTGTCTTCAGCTCTTCCAAGACTATATTTTTTGTAATGTAACTTGCTGCTTTTTAGATTAATTTTCAAAAAACGTCACAGAAACGAGACCTGTGAAATTTTAGTCTCTTTCTCTGCTAGGCTGTTAATCCCTTTGTGGTGATCTTACTGGTCCTACAAACACAGAGCTCACTCTCACACCCATGCTTATCTCCAGATACAGGAAAAAATAATTTCTTTACTATTACACTTTATAATCCTGCACTGAGACTTTAATTTTCTACAAGTTTCAGCCTTGAAAACACTCAACAATCTTTGTTTATAAACAAGAAATTAGTGTCTTATTCCCCTTACATGTAAAGCGCTATGTATTTAATCAAGCACAATCCCCCCATTTTGTCTTTCTAAACACAAGACAAATGCTCATATTTTCAAATTTAAATTTAATTTTTCTCCTGAAATTTAGAAAAGTAATTTTTTTCCATCACAGTAGTCCACATCTGGTTCCAACAGCCCTTCATGTAGTCACACTCACCAAGGCTTTGAGCACACTACAAAGTAATGAGCCTCAGTAAGGGTAATGCAACATCTACTAGATAAACAGAGCAGCTGTTACGCACTTTACAATAACTCACAGCAGCCCTGAACATTAGGATCTCTTTTACTGAAGGGGTGAATGTTTCCCAGGACCCTGAGGTTATCCACCTGGACAACAACCAGAGAAAAGCAGGACAATTTAATGTCCCATGCACCTCCAGCAGTGAAGTACTGCTCTACACTATGACAGTATTTATGGCCAAGGAAGGACCATTTGATTCATTGGAGGTTTTTGTTTAGAGTAGAGAGGCTAAAGGTCTCTTTTTCCAGACATAATTTGCATCAAATCTCCTGTATTTCCTTTTAAAATAAAAAGATGCATAGACTGATTGGTTAAAAAAAGTGTCAAACTATTTTTAAAAACTGATATTAGGACTTACAGGATTCATTCAATCAGAATTTGTCTCTTATGATTTCTTTGGTATCCTTTTTTAGGTTCATAATAGGGTTGAAACTAGCCGTCTGATTTTTTTTTTTTTTTTATTTAACAAGAATTCCCTTTGTTTGGAAGCCCCTCTACATGTTGAATTAAAAACATATTCTGTAAGTGGTAGAACGGATGCACAGAAGGGATATTTGGATGTGATACAACATTCAAGACAAAAATCATCTCACTTAACTTGAAATGTTACATGAACTAAATCCTAGACAAAGTGTCAAAAAAGTGCCCTGAGTTAGACCAGCTGAGAATTTGATCTGAGGGCTAAAATGAGATATGGGCTATTTTACTGATGCTGAGCACCTCTGGTTCCCACTGAAGTCACTGGAAATGGTGGATGCTCAGAAGCAATAAAAAGCAAACCATTGTCTGCTATTATTTTTCATACTTATGCTGCAGAATGATTTGTATCATGAAATACTATACATTTCCTCAATGTGGCACATTTCCAGTAACTTTGTCTCTCAGCCTGCTCTGATTTTATGCCTTTGTACATATACATGTTTCTCGGTAGAAGCCAACATTTCAAAACAATAAAGAAATTCCCCTGCCTGAAGGAAGAGAGAAAACACACGTGAGAAACTATGATTACACTTGGGAATGATAGGTTGCGCATGACTGTGACAACATACGCTACTGACAACCCTGAGATCCTGTGCTGTGGCAAACTGAAAGAAATCCTCAGACTACTGCTGACCTGCATTTTCTTTTTCAGACCATGAACCCCATCTTTTACATGGCTGTTGTCAATTCAGGCACTTTATCAGCATCCGTTTATTACTGTCTCCCCAACATCTCTTTAGTCTAATTACAGCTTCTTACAACCTATCTAAATCTACCTATCTAACCTATCTAATTACAACCTATCTAAATGTTATTCCTATGTACAGCTCCAAGCCCTGAACCACTTCAGTTCCAACATGTCTCCCCCAAAAATCAGTAACAGTCTTTCTCTAACACAATAACCAAAACAACACGTAACATTCTAATTCAGATGGGACTTGAGGTAACAGCATCAGCAGAGTTTGTGTTCCAGATCTTCATTTTTCAGTAATTCCTTTCAGCATGCACTTGGTTTTACCTTGTGCTGACTGCTCTCTTTTTTTTTTTTTTTTTTTTTTATGCCATATTTTCCTGGACTTCTTTTTCTCAACTTAAAACATATCACAGGTAAACAAGACAAAGCAGACAGATATGTGATATTTGCAGAAATAGTCAAAACAGAAGATGACAAATTATCTTGTCTTCTTCAGATGGACAAAAGTTTTTTGGGGCCCATTTGCTACTCACTCTTCTCTACACAAACCAATAACATTCTTATTCTCATCACCATCCTGCTTGCCAGAATACACACACCCCCAACTCGGATTGTTCCCAAATTCCTGCTTTCACTTCAGGGTTCCCCCTCCTTCTCAGGTCTGCTGGTACTTCAGAAATGTGATGGGTGTTCCTTTTACCAGGGACTAAGCCCCTCTCGGAGGCCCAGGATGCACTGAATTCCAGCTCACATTTAGGCTGATGACACTGGACTTTAAAGGCAGGATCCACCTCTCATTAGATGGACAGTCTAGGAGTTGGGTGTCTCAGGTAGACATCTTACACATATCTTCACATCTAGTCTCTCTCTGTCATCAGGGGACAGAGAGAAGCAGGATGGGGCACCTGGATGCATCTCTCTCACTCTCCACTGAGTGTAGGGGGAGCCTCAGCAATTACCTTTGGTCACCAAAATTTTGTTCAGCTATTGTTATCAAAGATGAATCCCAATCTATGCTATCTCTATACTTTTTCAAGGAGTCTTTATGAATATGTTGAATGACTTCCAGTTTACTAAACACAGGCAGTCTTCTGCCCACCAGAAGTTTCTGTGATACATGTTTGTAATTTTACTAGATAGCTTCAGAGTTCATTAGATGGTCTTTAGTAAGTTGAATACAGGAAAAACAAAAAATTCACCAGCACAGCCAGTGTAGATATATACAAAATGGGCTGGGTTCAAGCAATTTCAGTTGTATGCTCTCTCCTTTATAGCACTGATCCTACTTTTTATGCAAAGACGTAAGGTACCAAAACCCAGATAATTTACAGCAGTCTTTCTTATGTTCTGTAACAGGCAAACTGAAGGCACATTTCAACAGTAAGTAAAGAATAAAGCAGAGTGAAGAGATTATTAATGTCATATCTGTATCAATACATATTTAAAGAAACACTGAACTTAAGCAATGACTACTTAATTTATGATTGGTACATATTATAACTTGGGCCAAAAATAAAGGCCACCCAGGAGCAGCTGCTGGTGAGGCATGCAGTGGTCTTTCTTCCCAGCAGGAACACTTGACATAAACATGTTAGTGCTCCACACACAGCATTTATTGTCAATCAAGTTACAGAGCTATTTAGTGGTCTTTTTCCTTAACTTCAAAGAATTAAATGGGATAGGGCCAATTCGTCTCTGGAATCACCTCTCTCTCTCCCTACCACATCTGCTGTGCTCAAAGGGGGTCCCTTAGGCTGACAAAGCCCAGGTTTGAACTTGTCATGCTCTAGGATGGTAAGATGTTTCCAGTCATAGGTCGGTAATTATGGAACTTGCTTCTACATGAGATCAGAGTGAACCTTCTTGCCATGACTTGGTTTATATTTAAGAAATTAAATTACTTAAAATCTCTCAAATATCTGTAGAAATTTTGCATCCACATACTAAAAATACTCTAAAGGGCCTAAAAAGAATCTATTAATCTCTTAAAATAAACTATGTTCCAGCAGATGTAACTGGAAGAACTGTGCCTCCTTAACTGCACTGTGGTTGAAGACAAAGGCAATCTTGAATAACTCCTCTACCTCTGCTATAGATAACACTGCCCTGGAGGCCTTGACAAGAATCACACACCAGAGGCTTTCAGGAGCAGAGATAGAGACTGTGGGACAAAAATCTAGAATGCTTTCAACTGAGAAAAAGTAAGTCAGGGGCAAAATTTCAGCACAACTTGAGTGAAACACTCAAATGCTTATGCTTAAGATAGTCTAATGAAGTGGGTTGAATTACAAAGACTTCAATTCAATTTCTGACAGCATCTGACACAGACAAGTCCCTGACAGTTCTCAAAGATTTTTTTTAAAGCTGTTGGTACAGACAACTGTAATGAGCCAACCAAGAGTGGGGGAAAAAGGAAGGTTCTGTATTCAAAGGAAAAAGTGAAACATTATGTTATTACTGACAATGTAATAATGGGTGCCAAAGACAGTGGCCACAAGAGAATAAGTTATCACTCTCAATACCCACCTCATTAGTAACTGAGAGAATTGACAGTGCAGAATCACAGTACTTCAGTGCATTGTTTTTCTGGCCAAGATCTTTATAGCACTGAGAAGAAAAAACATTTTGTTTCCAATCAGACCACTGTAAGAATACCAGAGTCTACAAATCATTATTTTTAAAAGAACCTGGTTACCTTTGCCAAATACACATAATTGCATTTGGAATATCCTGGACGCATTTCTTCTGCCTAAATAATAAAAAACAGGAAAGAAAATAGACATAAAGCTTGTGTGATGAGATTTATGTGGTCTGCATAACATTTTTAGTAACACACTGAAGTTCCTCAAACATCAGACTGAATCATCCCTACTGTGCACACCACAGTCTGTTTAGCACTTCAAAAAACCCTTAAGAAAACAAGAAAACCCAAAATTCAAACCCTAAACCAGGCACATGAGGTGCTGATACTGACCACATAAGAGTGTTCTGTACTGCTTGCTCTCCTCTGTCCCTAAGTACTTTGTAAAGATATCAGATCATTCTATAGAATGTCTATTGGATTCATTCACTTACACACTGGGTTGGAAGACACTGCTCTCTCTAGTTTATTAATATTTCTCCATCAAAGAAATAAACAAGAAACCAACCATTCACACTTTGTGTAGTAGGTAACAAACTGTCTTCATCAACATCATTATTTTTCTTTCACAGACCCATATCTTCTACCTCTGGGTTCACCTTTCTTTTTCCATCACTATGTTCTGAAAAGTTTGGGTCATTAAAAAAGTTCAAGATTGTCTTCCTTTTAAAATATATCAAGGATGTAGAAGCTTGAAAGATGACTAAAAACCTTACAAATTACCTACTAACCAAGAAGCATCTTTAATCAACAAACAGCTTTTGGGAGAGAAAAATTGCATCAGTGAAATTTATAGGAGCTGTAATCCTTGGACCAAAACACTGCTGCTTTCACCAGAACTGTGTATTACAAAACAACTGAAAAAGAAACCCAAACAGTTGTCTTTTAGACAGTAATTTAATTTTTGTTGCAGAAGATGACTTAAAACCACAGTTACTTTGCAGCCCACCACAAAATGTCCTGAAGCTAAAGCGAACATTTCAAATTATTTCTACCACCTTTGGAGTTTGACCTTAAAGATAAAAATCTCTTAAACTGGGAAGATGGTAACATATTGTCCAAAATTCAGGAGATCATTCCATCTTTAAATAGACCGAGCACAGAAAATAAGTACTTTGGATAGTGAAGAAAATATGCTTATCCAATTCCTTTGAGAAACTGTCTGAAAGTAATTGTAATGATGTAAATTTATATTTTGAATTCAGTCAAGTGAAAAGCTTGTATTTTTCAACTCCAGAAGTAGAAATGATTCATATAAAAGACAGCTTTATTTTATTCATGTGATATTTTCTCATAAACGTGCATTCAAGTAGAATGCCCAGGAACATGGGCCTATTTCTATATGACAGAGCTTTCTCTTCTACTTCACTGCAAAGGTAGTATCATCTCTACAAACAAGAAAGGCTTCTACTGAAATTCAGTGAAAAGAGCTTCAGTACAGAAAAAGAGAATTGTCACAATGTCAAAGTTTTCCTTGCCTATGCTAACCCTCTTGCAGAAACAGGCAAACCACCGGTTATTGCTATGGTTAATTTGTTTCAATAGCATATATAATTTATCTCAATCCATCTCAGATTAAATCCAATAACTATTAACCAAGGTAAATCATTGAAGAATTCCCTAAAACCAAAGAACAAGAAGAAACGTGCTACCCACTCATACCCAAACTAATTTTAAAATAGAAAAGAAAAACTATTTTAGTATAGAATGCTGTGGTATTTAGGACAGCCCTAGATTTACAGCAGCTGAACATAATCTGTTGTGCAGACATCTTGACAACAGTCACATATAGCAACTAGTAAACAGACACACAAGAAAACCCTTGGCTAGGACTTACCTTAAGGAAATTCTGCAATGCTTCTTCTACTGTTGAAGTTGGTGGAGTCCCAAAGAGAGCAGCAGCTACTTTCTTTTCAATCCATGATAACTGAGCTACCTATAATAAGGCGGGGGGGGGAAAGTCTTTAGGGTTGCTTCTCAGTTTTGGAGTAAAGTCTGTGCCACTTATACAACCTATTTTGCAAAAGAACCCATAAAGGAATGTTTTATACTGTTGATGTGCCAGCTCAAAGCATAGTCCATAGGATTTGAGATTCTTTTAACAGGAAAATTTACAGATTAAGAAATACATGACAAAACACCAACATGATTGATATTAGATTATTCCATGTACAAAGCTTAAAGTACAGTTTAGGTTTCATAAGAACTTGCCCTTTTTTAAAAACCTAAGGCTAGAAATAGTGCTTTAAACCTGTTAACGTTTTTATGAGACAGTTTAGCTTCATAGTCCATGTACTTGACTACTTTTCAACATTACAAAAAGCTGTTGCTACAGTCAAAATGGGAGTGCTTTTGGTGCTTGTAAAACAAATTCATTTATTACAGAGAAGCTGGTGACAATCTGTTAAGAAACAGGATTCATTTCTTCCTCTTAAAATCTGACAAGTAACACTTGCCAAAGACCTCTTCTCATTTCAGGAAGATGGGCTGCTATAAAAGGACTTCAGGGAACTGTCATATTGTCACACAATGTACATGATTTCTTGCCTTACATATACTGACACCTGACAGAAACTGCTCTGGTTACTGCCATAAAGTATTTGGCTCCATCACCTAACCTGGTGAAACACACCTCACATCTCTAATAAAGGATGGAGCCACTAAGAAATGCAATATAAAACTGGAGTTGTTTAAATCCTGAAGTGAAGTTACCCCCCTTTGGAGAATTGTACTGTATCTGTAAAGTTGGGACTTCATTCCTTCACATCAATATTTGAATCACCGCACTGATGACTCCTGTTATAGTGGAGTCTACAAAAACAAAGTTCTGTGTTGTCCTAGCAGTTTCTGGCCTGATTTATGCAGAGACAACACAGAGAAGGGATACACACAGGCAAAGAAAGAGATTCTCTCATCAGAGAGCTGGAGGTGAAATATGAGTCACATAGTGACATCTCTTTTTCAGAGGGACCTGCAATTCAAATAACAGAGTTGAGTCTTGAATTCAAGTCTGTCCTTCTGCTGTAAAAATCAAAATGGTTTTGGATAGCTTTATATTATTCCCACCTTATTCCCTGGCTTCCCAAGCTCTTCAGGGCTGTTGCTGTTCCCCCCGCCTTCTCCAGCTAAATTCAGCAACTATTCAGTAGATGTCAGATAATTATGGTAAAATGTAAGAATCCATCCACATGTAACTATCCACAGCCATCCACGTTCTCTTTTGAACAGACATCAAGCTCTATGTACTTCTTGTTGCAAACTGCCCTAAAAATATCGTTGCAAAGACTACAAATACAGGCCAGCAAGCAACAGGAACATGCCTAGAGGGCCATGTTTTCTCATTTGGGCCCCAATGACTCTAGCTACATCAGAGCAACATTGCTTGGAGACAAAAGGCATCGTGATCAAGTCTTGCTGGTTGTTCGTCAAGGTCCAATGTCTTATTTGTTAAATGCCGTCAGTAAGTCTTTCACATAAAAACCACTAAAAATTATATTCCAGAGAGAAACAATATTAAGAAAATAAAGCGCTGCTTTTTTTTCCCATTCTCTCTCACAGACCACTCTTGAAGCCTCTTCTAAGGGAATAAAGTATTTTTTACAAAAAAGCTCTCCAGCAATCCCAGAGTTCTAACTGAAGTAACAAGATGTTTCCCCTCTCTGCACTGCAGTGCTTTCACACTGTGTTACAAACTGCAGTATGATGGTTAAAGCTTTAAACTGTAGGTATGTATCTAATTCCCTTACACACTTAATTTCCCTACCTACTCTATCGTTTATGAGACATATTCTGCATAAGGATTTTTGCAGAAGTATTGTTTTCTTCATGCCAATCTACCGCTGCAGTGTTCTCTGTTCTTTTGGAAGAGGAATGGGGTTTCTGTATTTCTAGGTCCATCACATCAAGGAGGAAAAGGGGGAAAAATAAAGGGAATGTATACGCTTACACTGAATTCTGCAAGACCACACAGCACCCTGGAGATACACATACACGGCTCAAATACAATTACCACACGCGTGTCTGCTGTTATGCAACAGTGAGGAAACAAAATTGCAGTTTTTCCATGTGGAGCTATAATTACGTATTGAAAACACAAGTTCTTCCTGGCAGTTGTTTTATTTTCTCACAAGATTTAATCAGCACTGATTTACTGAGGTTTTAGTCCTTATTTTGTCTGGCTTGGGTGCTGCTTTGCACTATTCAAACTTTAAAAAGCCCAAACATATATGCACTTGGCCATTTTTATATTACAAATGCCACCAACCTAAAACAATGTTTAAAAGTGAAATGTAGGTATGCACAATAGCGAGTTTTCTTTGATGTGGACTGGCTTTAGCATTATTCTTTGTGACTATTACACAGATAGTCTGAGAGTTCTGTCATGTTTTGAGCAGACTTATGTGCCACTGGCTTGATGCATTCATTGCAGCTAACTATCTACCCACAAATGAAGTGAGTTTTTTATGTGAGTTGTCCAGATTCCTTGCATGGTCAATACAGGCATTCTATTAAACAATTCCTCTTCACCTACGTTAGCCTGGGATAAACACTCCTCTTTTTCTTCTTTCTTTCCTTCAACTACAAAAGGAGCATAAACAATTATACCTTGTGGATGGCTAAAGATAGGTGAGGTAAATCCCATCACAACAGCTTAACCACGCCCCACCTGAGTCAGTCTGCACCCCTCTATGACTCAGGTAGGACAAATGGAAAAGACCTGTTTTGTGTAAGACACAAAATTGTGTCCTGGAGCAATAATGATGAAGAGGAAATTATACCCTTTCCTTAAACACACAAGTACAGTCTTTAATTTGAAACAACTTTATTAGAGTGAATCTTATGCATGTTCAGTTAAATGGAAACATCATTCCTACTACACCAACTGACTTTATTAAGCGTTCTCTGCATGTGAGCAAGCACAGACAACAGAAACCCTGGTGTAACATGTTCTAGTGTAGTGCAAATCTACAGTCAAGGTTATTCCAAACAGCGCAAAGCATATCTGGAGGTCCAAACAAAATCAAGTACAAAGAGACTGTAACTCATCAGCTTCAGCAGAACCATAATTTCACTTAATGCATATTTCAAGAACAAGACAGGACAGCAGAAAAATAAGAAAAACAGCTACTGCAGCAAGTAATAGCTACAACGACAACAAAATTAAAGAATGAAGATTGCCCTTGCCCTACAGATGATTTCCAAACCTTAAGTGACTTTTGGTTTTGTTAGGTCTCCCAAGCCCTGACGTCCGTCCCCGAAGCAGCCTGAAAATTCCTAAGAGCACTGCAAGGAACACTGTGTTTCCACAGAATATCAGGTTTTAATGTATTGGGTCACTTGAGGAGCATCACTCCCCAGCTGCCACAATATGAGGAGAGCTAGTCCCACTCACTCAAATTTGGAAGAACAAGGGCCTGAGGAACGATCAGCCAACCGCTGAACTTCCCTAGGGCTGGAGGGGAGTGGGTCACCATGACAGGTTGGTCTCTGTCAAGGAAAGGAAGCCACTCTTCAGTATCCCAAAGCTAAGAGATGCTTGTCTCAAACAATCTCTCACATAGATCTGTCAATCAGCAAGCTCTCATCCATTTATTTTACTCAAATCTGTACTAATACTAGAGATGGAAAAAGCCACCCACAGAGTTAAACTGTAGCTGACTGGAAATTTCGTACCCAGCACGCTCCTACCAGGCCTCTTGTTTCTCTGAAGTCCAAGGCAAAAAATGTGGCTCTTCCCTAAATACTGGGAAAAGGGATTTGCTAACATCCATTTCTCTTCCTTAGCCTAGGTTCAGAAAACAATCACATATGAACTAAACCAACGGCTAGAGTTTGGGTTTTTTGGTTTTGCCTTCTGTTCATTTTTGATGAGATGCAAACCCTGCCTACTGACATTTTTTCAAATTCCAGGATGTTGGATGTACCAAGGAAACTAACCCACTTGGATGGAAAATTCAGCCAGGATTGACTTGCAGCCGTAAAGGATTTCCTCCTCCGATGTTTTCTTGCTAACAGCTCACTGAAGACAGATCACACAATTGTCTTCCATAAAGGAAAACCATCCCATTGATCCAGCTTCAGTAAAATATTAATCGCACCTACTTGAACATCCCCAGAGATTTTATTCTTCTTTTTTATTACAATATATTAATGTAAAATTGTATTAAATAATTTTGCAATGTTTTGACTTCTGGAAGAGATTAAGTAACTGGATAGCACTTTTAAATGCTGGCTTCCAACACAAATATTCTCTTCTTGCCAGCTGAGGAACCAGGACAGTCTGCACAGGCATTCAGGCATTTATCCAACTTGAATTCCCTGGACTTTTCACTCTCCAGTAAGGGGAGTAGACTTACAGAGCACACAGACAAAAGAACTGGGTCAATTTGTTCCCTGATGTAACCCAAACCGGTACTGGGATACACCAGAGATTAAACCAACACATGGCATGTAACCTGCGAGAAGAATATCCCAAGAGATCTAATTTTTAACACCCCACTAGCATTTATCAGAGACTCTGATCCAGTTTCACAAATACGTGCTGTTTTGTGTCAGTCCTGTAATGGCAAGTAGCTATAAGTCTTAACGACGTGCATACTCCATTTTAAAAGCTATTCTAAATATTTCAACACTAAAAAAAACCCCCACAAACACACATTATAAAGGATTATCAGATAATTGCACCCAATACTCTCAGGAAAGAAAACTAATTCCTATACAACATGCACCACAGGTCAATTCACTTCCAATAAATAATTCTTGCTGATCTGAAAAGCAAAGTAGTTTTCCCTTTCCCTTAACGAAAACAAAACTGAAACTTGAAAGGCTCTAAGCACTGTACTTATTTTAAATCAAATTAACTAACCCAAGTATATATTTAAAACATTAAACCTTCCCTAAAAGACATGTACTTAACAAAGCCTGTTTCTGTCACAGAAGGCTAAGGACAAAAAGTTTCATCCACCACCAAAGACATTTTAAATGAAAATTACTTTGCTGCAGTTGTTTTTCTTTGGAATAGTAACAACTGTTTTACATACTAAACACTGGCTTGCTTTGCTTACTAGATATTTTAAAGTATATTCATCACAATTATACAGTATCCATCTTTTCCTAACATCATCACCAAAGCTACCCTGGAAAAAATTACTACTCTGTAGAAGTTCATATCAGCTCTGGAAAAGGAATATTAAAATAACATTTGGTAGAGTTCTGCAGTTATCCATTATTAGTGGTGTTCCATTATGTTTACTCAATGCATAAATAAATAGGGGTTTTTTTTCCCATTGTTACCTCTGCAAAACAAAACAAAAAAACATTAGAGCTATATGTGGCTTCTTGTACACACAGCAAGTCTCTCAGGCAAAACTTTGCCCATTATTATACCTACAAAATGGTTGGTGAAAATCTTGCCTACCTGATTGGGATACCAAAAGTAACTTTCTAACAAAGCTGAGATGATACACACATCAGAACAGAATTTTCTTCTTTTGTATAGCTCTACTGGCTTTATAATGATAAGAGAAATAAGAAACAGCAAAAACTGATTTTTAGACCAGGTGTCACTCAATTGTTACTGACTCTGCATCAGACACAAACCCCCACTACTGCAAGGCAGTGAAAATCCAGCTAGTCCCTCCTGCTGAAAGGTGCTATGACACTTTGCATCAGCTTCAGATATGGCCCAGTGAGAATAACTGCTAAGAAATTTGGCATTTCCATACCATTGCTCTTTGTAAAGGACTGTGTCACACTGAGGAAGGTGAAAAATGACAGTCAGAGCCAAATTCTAGCAAAACACAAATGAAATAGCTTTTTCTGGTACAGCATACAGTCTCTAGATATAGATTTCAGCCTTCAATAAATCTTCTCCATTTGCCTACCCTATATGTTTAACCTAAAAGTCTGTTCAACTGATTGTGAAAATGAACTGGAACACTGAGTTACAACACTTGAAGCATCCCTTTTTACAGACTCTATTGCTATACCTATTTTTTTTCAGTTTGTCAGCCTGAAAACCAGCACTAGAAAATAGCAATATGACCCCCCAACATTAAATGGGGAGTGAATGACAAATGTCTGACTATACTAGGAAGACTTAAGTACATCCGGTTTCTCAAAAGTGTTACCAAAGCCTAGAGAGTATCAAACACTAGTTATCTTTTTTAACTGCACTGCTTCAGTAAAAGAATATGTGACTAAAACTAGACAATACTACCCCTGGAAGCAAAACTTACGAAAGAACAAATATTGTGACCAACCCTAACTTGATCCCAAAGTCAGCTAGGCTAAATGTAAAAACTAACCACCTTTCCTCAGTCATCCCTTTTGTTTCTTTAATTTCCTCACACTGGCCAACACAGTCTTTCCAGCTTCAACCTCTGCTAGACTAAACAGAGGGTCTAAGAGGAGCATTATCACTGCATCTGTGGGTACCAGTATAGAGAAGGAGCAATAAAGGAAACTTTCAAGCACCCTATCATAATCCCTACCCTGAAGAAGTATTTGGAACCAATGTCCCAGACAACAGTCTAATATGAAACACCACAGTTATAGAATAGGACCAAGAAATTTGCCACAGCTTCCACAAGCTCCTATGACTATCTACATCACATGCATGCCCAAAACCTGTGTTAGTGGATCAGCACCGAAACCTACTCATACAGTCTGCTATAACAACTGAGGATATCACCAACTTCACTGGGCTAGGATTAAGATCTAGCTTCCATAGTAGAACCTCAAAAGTAATGTTCCCAAATGATGGCCTCTTCCTGCTACTGCATGTGTGTAAATGACAGTAAGTTTTTAAGAGCTGACAGCCCCAGAAGTTAAAATAAAATAGTCAAAACCAAAGCACTCAGTCCTACACTTGCATTTATTTCTGCTATGAAAATCTGTTCTAAGTGTTTCAGGTCACTAATTTGTCATGGATTATTTTAAAAAAAAGGAAGAAAGAGAAATCAATTTCAGTGGCTACATCTATTTAGGTGGATTGTTTCACTTAATAAAATGTAGGTCAGAACATACCCTAAAGCAAATTCTAATCTGTGGCTTTAATGTTCAGTAAGGAAGCCCTGCATAGGTGCTGCAAATGTGGAACATGAGTTTGTAATGATACAGTGCAACAAACCACATGTATTAGTCAGGAAGTGGTGATTGTCACTAAAATGAAACAAGAGTAAAAAACCAGTGCAATAAAGAACAAAGTGAGGTGTACTGAGATTACATGTAAAGTTTCCAAAAGCGGTAGCTCAAGTGAGAAATAAGCCATAAAAAACATCTGGGAGTGTTTGACAAACAATCAAACACAGACAAAGTGTGCAGTCAGCTGTTGCACACAGCACAGTCTAAAAGTGCTTAAAGAATGACAGGAGAAAGCGGTGCTCTTCGAAGGCAGGACAGCAAGCATACCATAGGACAATCTTCAGCAACCCACTTTTGCATAGCTAATGCTGGTATTCAAGAATACAGTGTGATGAAAAGTAAAATGAAGAGCTCTTTGAAGAAGCTGGTGTCATTACTTATTCAAATCAACTGAGAAAGAAATGTAGTTGTTGAAAGCTCTTTCAAAGTTAAATCTATGATCTAAAAAATCTGCTGAAAGGTTATTTTGAATTAAATCTTGTTGCAGATAAAGACAAAGTTAAAGGCTGCAACGTATCATCGCAGCTTGCTCTTTCCAGTTTGCAGGCACTTCCTAGTGACTGGCACTTGAAGTAGCTGTAGAAAAAATGTAGGGCTGGAATTCACTGCGTATTAGCAGTTGTTATTCTGAGAAGCCTCCCAGTGATTTTTTAGAGTGTAGACTATGCAAGAATATTTTCTTCTGATGAAAGATTCCTCACATCACTAAAGATGAAGCAATAAGGATAGTCATCTGAGCCATCAAAGATGTGGTCTTAAGAATAAGACAAGTCTCATATTACAAGCACAAGCATCATTTTTTCTAAAAAAAAATTTAAAATTAATCAACACCTAAGTTTGTAAGACAATTATTTTAATATTTCATACATGAGTAGTTATCACTATGTCATTAACACAATATAAAAAAGCATCTGTTGTGTTGGCTAACACAAATTTTATCTCTTTCAAAAATTTTCTGTGAATGATAGATTTTTTTTTGCCTGAATCTTTGCTGTGACTTTCTCCTGGAATTTACCAAGACAGTATGGTAGCCTTGCTGCCACAGTCATAATCCCACAGCATATAAACGCATTTAACTTCAGTTATGGATGGGATATAAAGTTACCAAAAGGCTATGTTACCAGCCCAAGGTCACCCAGAAAGTTTGTGGCAGAAAAAAGAAATCAAATAAAGGCTCACAATACCAAAGGTCACCCTTCCTCCCTTCCAAATATCAATGACTTTTCATTCATACATTCAGATAAGAAACCTGAACACAGCCATAAGGGACATACAAGCACAGCTTACTTAATGTACATGACAGGAATGGGCAGCAGTTAACATCACTGTGTGTGGAAATTAATTCAGGAAATGTAAACGTACTGTTTCATTTAGCTCAAAACATCTACTTTAAGAAACAACCTTTGTATTAATTCCCACTATTTAATTTCAAATGCAGCATCATTATTCAGTATACTCAATTCATACATTAGATAAAAAAAATCAACTTACTGAATAGCACCATCTTCCATGTAGGTAATATAAAAAAGGATCTTGAGGCTTAAGTTCAATAGCTTTGTCTAGGTGCTCCTATTAGAAAGAAAATCAGTGTCACTTCAGATGACAGCTTAGCAAGTGTGTTTACATTCTAAGAAGTTTGCTGCAAATTATAAGCAAATTCAGAAATCCTCTTCTGCTGCATTCCTTTTCTAATGTCCTAAAAATATTAACTAACAAACCCTTTCCTCATGGAGGGACACCATAAAAAAAAATTTTTAGCAACTTTTCACAAAATGCAAGAAGGCATGCTGTATTTAGAACATGACTAAGCAGCTCTAAAGTTCAGTCAAAACACTCAAGAACTTTTGTCTTAAAAAGGCAACAACTTCTATTAAATTAATTTTATTTACAGTTAATATTAGGAAACTGTCACACACTAAATCAGTGAGAATGCAAGCACTCTCTTTGATAGATCTTACATGCCAGCACCCATCTCTTCCACCCTGGAATATGACTACCCCAATGAAATGGTACATGACATAACAAATTGTTACTATAATGTGAAATTCAGAAAATAAAATGGTTCTGTTTATAGTGAAGCCACAAAACCTATAAAGTATCTAATGAGGTGCTTCTTCCAAAAACATTTTCATGACAGGTCATGACTATCTTTCTCTCTTTAATTTACTAAAGAAAGCTCTTATTGCTCAGCCTGAGTTTGAAGAAAAAAGAACTATGTTAGTTCACACCTAACTACCATTTGCTTCTCAAAATAATTTTCACTTTTAAGGTTTCTTTTTTTCCCCCCCAGATATCTCTGTTTTTTCTAATTAAGACAGTCACTGAAGTATCTGTTATCCAGATTCAAGAGCCTGTTAGCGTATCATTTTGTCCACAAACTATTCAGATAGGAGCTATGTTTCGATGCTATTATTTTCCCAAATCCCTTATATTTCCAAATGATTCACACGGTTTTCAGTAATTACTTGTGAAGTGGAAAACCTCCCTGAAAAGCTACTGCTAACGCTGCAGGCTCTTTTTAAACTCCATCCTTAAACAACTACAGCACTTTTGTTATTTGTCATTTTCCCTTCATTTCCAGCTTGTCCCAGTGCCTGGGGCTTAGCTCACTTGGCACAGCTCAGATGTAATTAATGCTCTCTCATAGGAAAGTTCCGCCACACTCCAAGCCCTAACATGGACATGATGTGGTAGAGACCCATCCCAGGCATTCCCTGGGAAGGGGAACATGTCTGCTGCCTCTCACTAACACGCAGAAAGGGGGGACACCAGCTCGTAGGGCAAGGGATCAAAAGCACCTAAGCAATGCCAAGGACAAGGAAGGGGAGAGTAGTACATGTAACACAAAATGCTAACTCTAACAAACACAATTACCTCTGAAAAGACAGTGTTAAAACTAATATTACCTCTTAAGGGTGACATGAAGTATTGATTGCAGAACTGTGTTAATTTATCATTTAATATTTCATGGGTTTATTTTCTAAACAGAACTGTCACTCTGTTTTCTTCCCCCCTTTGACTGAAAAATAAAACTGAAATCTTAATGCTGTTCCAAGAATCCTACCTCAGTTTTTATATTCTGTAAGCATATCATCTATTCGCATACATAAACTTTTTCACTTTAACATCGGCACCAAAATAGACCTGTGAGGCTGAATTACTGTGTTGGAAAAAATCTGTCTTAGACACTATGTAAAGAAATAATTTAAAGGAATATCTTAAAAAAAAACCCCAAACCCTACAAAAACATACCTTAAAGAGATAACCATTCCTGATTTTGTTTTGTACACTTTCAAATTGAGACATATAGCCACACATAATTGCAAACCTGAGAGGGGAAAAGAAAAACACACACACATACTTTTCGTGATTTAAATAAACCTTTGAATCAAATTACAAAATATTTCAATACCTAATCCACAGATTAACACCTGTTTTTCTTCCATCTTGATGGCTGGACAGAAGTTTGGCATGAGCTGTACATATTCAGGAACAGACAAAAACCCGAACCAAAATAAAACAAAACAATAATGGAAACAAGAAGTTTAAATGACACTGTTTGGGATGTCAGTGAAGTGGAGTGAAAAAACAGGGATTTCTCCTCCAAAATTTCTACCATTTAGATCAGAGTGTAACACTTCCAAACTCACTCCAGCATTGACAGCAGCTTAACTGGACACATTGTGCTCTGCATTGCAATGCACTGGGAACATAAACACCATCAGACACGGTACCTCACCCAGCAAGGCAAATCCTTAGGGCACACTCTGAAGGAAGCTGTGCGGATCTCAGAAATCGTTCAAAGCTGTCTTCTACCCTTCTCAAGCATCTTGGTGCATTCCTGCATCTCCAGTATTTTTAAAATATCTTTCAAATTATTTTAAAATATACACACATATTCTGCTCTAACAGGATTGCTACTGCTATTACTAGCTGCCTCTTACTAAGATTATTATTATTATTACAAACTGGGGACACTGATTGTGATTTTAAAAAAGTGAGATAATTTCTATTAAAATTTTGTATTGTTAGGCAGGTATAAATTAAAATATTTTCAAAGGTCCCTAACTGTAAAGATTCAGATTTCTGAAGCAACACTGATGTCTTATCGACACTCCATCTAAACTTCTACTGCTTTTTCCTTAATATTTCGACAGCTATAGAACCTACTATGCATAAGGAGTCTCCTACACAGATGTCAGTTGTACTTTCCTTGGACCTATCTGCCTTGGCATTAAGACAACTTTGCATTTCTGTACAAAACTAACAGAAGGAACAAATATATTTAAGCAGCATAAGCTAATATAGATTATTTCTCTAAATTTTTCAGAATTTTGCTTTTGTATTAAAAATTTTACAATGCAATATCAAATTAAAACAAAAATTAATCCTAAGGGGAGAAACTAAGTTGAAGTTCAGAGGAAAATGTAGAAGTTATGCAAGAAACTTACCGAGCTAATTACAGTAACAGACCCACCATGTGTATGGTGTATGGCACGGACAGTTTTTAAGCATTACTAAACCTCAGCTTTCTTTAATTTCTTTATATAATGTAATTATTCAGGCTCCAGTGAATCCTCATTAAAATGTCACTGCATAACATAACTAAATAAATTATTTTATTGCTTACAGTTATAGCTAATGATTTTGTTAGAAATACTCGTGCTCCAGGTTGTTACATTTTTATTCAGTAAGTGTTCCCAGGTACAGGGTACGAGTCAGCATAATAACTAGTTGAAGTTGTAAGAGCTCCAGACAGACTGTCAAACAGCGTTGAACAGACGTATGTTGTGACCAATGTGCACTGAACAAAATCCAGCTAATGGCACCACTACTTCTGACATTTAAAGCTGCAGGGGGAGTGCAGTTCATATGGGAACGAGCTGCAATTGAGGGGAAAAAACAAGGGGTGGGGGTCAGGAAAGTTCAGGTATTTAGAAAGAGGGGGAAGGTACAGAAAACTTTATTAGGCTTAAGTAACTCAGGCAACATTTCCCCTATTCCCTTCACTCATTAAGTGCTAATCAGATAAACTCAGCATACCATAGCTAAACGGATTGCTGCTACAAAAGAAAACAATGAAAAGCGAACAAGCTAATCCAGCATCTTGCAGTATTTCCCTGTCTGTGCGTGACAAGAAAAAGAGCCTTAGTTTAAAGCAGTTCAAAGAAAAATTTTTACTTACAGCTAAAATCTTTGGGAGGGAAATCCTAATAAAATTTTTAACAAATGAAAAGTAAGCTAACCTACTAACTTTAAATACTTTTTTTTTTTTTCCCCCAAGGAAAAAATAAGAATGTCTTTCATGCATTAGTGGGTTGTTGGGTTTTTTTTCTGTTATACTTTTGAACTAGGCTATGCAGGCAATTGACATAAATCAATTATTTAATTTTTTGAGTTCTATGGCATTTCACATATTCATTTCATTTCTAAAAAAAAAAAAAAAAAAAAAAAACACTAAAGCATAGGATAATATTAAGAAAACGATCAGTGAAAACGAGGAAAGAACTAACTAGAAATGACTCCATCTGGTTTTTGTCATTCAATCCCGAAACCATCTTTCCAGAGTTCGGGCCCAGCCCTGGGCAAAGCGGAGCCCGAGGCGGGAGCGCGGAAGGGCGGAGGCAGAGCGGAGCTGCCCGGCGGCCCGCAGCCCTCCCTCTCCGCTGACACCCGCCCCACCTCGTGGTGACACTCGGACACAGCAGCCAGCTCCAGGGCCTGAGACTTTCACAGGTTCTTCTACAGCGCCACTTTGTGCGCTATCATAAAAATTGGGGGGGGATGAATAAAAAAAAAATATCACTCAGTAATGTTCAAATATCCTGTGAAACAGGTAAAACTTACGTATCTTTTGCGAGAACAAGTGATACTGGCTTTTCTCACAGTCATTGCCTGTCTCATGCCCTTTGAACATCAAGATTAAAATACTGCTTACAGTACCTTCACAGAGAAAAACAAAGAGAAAATTGTACCTAGTGCTGCAAGGAAGTGACCTAACTGCTGAGCCGATGCTACTCCTGGATAACAGGAGTAAAAATAAACAGCCACAGACATGTTCATCTAAATGAACATAATGATCATAACCTCACTGAGACAGACACAGTACTTAACTTAAAGGCATGTTACATCCAGATGGAAGAAAAGTTACTGAAAACAGTGTAGAAGCATAGAGATTAATTACCCACAATACTCCTTTTCTAAGCACAAACACAATCAAACCAACTCAGTAAAATCAGCGCCATGCCCCTTTGATACAAATGATGCCACTAGAACTCAGACTCACAAGAAAGCACAGTTGACAGAGATGGATGCCAAGTGCCTCCGTGGCCCTCATGTAGAGGGGTCCAGATTAAGGCGGATGAGAGTTTTCCTTTCTGGTATTACAGAATTTCTGTATGTACTCTGACAAGATAAAACTGCAAGGGGCATACCTTACCTGCTGCAAAAGGAGGAACAGCAGGTTGATTCAGTGAGTTTTATCAAATATGTTCACAAGCAATCTGAATTTTAATACCAAAAATGCAGAGAGACGCCACCAACACTTAGACCCTGGCAACCACAACTTATTCCACATGACATGGATTTACAGAAAAGATTTAAAGTCTCAAATTAAGATTAAGCCACATTAGGACACTCAAATACAGGAAGTTTTACTGGTTCCCTGATAAATTTCACAGGGCCAAAATCAGAAATAATATGCATCTTCCCAGGCTTGTTCCTCCCTCTTCTAGATCCCCTTCCACGTATCCCAATTCCAAAAACCCCTCTTACTTCATGTAGACTTTGAAAATATGTGGGTACAGGGCTTACATTTAGAAGTCTTGATCTCCCTTTCAGCAGCCCAGTATCAACAGCTAAGTTTTTCTTAATTGCAGTTGTATGAATTTTGTGAACAGGAGCAGAGTTTGTGATATTTACTAATAACAAAGAACTTAGTTCCTCTGTTTCACACTGATTTTTCGCTCCATCCTCTTTATCTGAAACACATTTAAGGTGTAAGATAGTACGAGTAAAGGCTAATGTGTGGGTAACACATAAGAGACCCTGTGAAAAGAAAGTTCATTTCCATTCCAGTTATAAATGTGTTCCTGTGTCTCCCCTTCTCTGCACAGCTCAGAGCATCTAATCTTATTTCTTAACCATCAACTGCCTCACCACTTTCACACACTCAGTATTCTGACAAATCTCTTCAATGCAGCCCAACCCTCAGACTTTCTTTTTAATCTGACTTCAATGAGCTGTCAATTCCTGTGTAGGGAGATTTTTCAATTTATGTTACTGTTTACGACCTGTTGCATTATCAGTCCAGAGATCACAGTTTTGTATACTTAAAATTATATCACTTTCCTACCATGGTATTTTATTAAAGTTTCCATGGAAAAGTAGAGGATCAGTTTGATATCACCTTCCTCATGGTGGTGAGGGCACAGAAAGCTGTGGCTAAGAATGTGAGAGACTGCCAATATACAAAGTAAAAAGTGCCAAGGTGCAAACTGAAGTATTTAGGTGGGGTTTTGTTCTTTTTTTTCCCCCTTTTGGTTTGGGTTTTGTTTTCTTTTCTTTATTTTTTTTCTTTTTCTTGGAATACAACTGAGTCTACATTGTAGAAATTGGCAGAGATACAGTTTTTATATTAAAAATTCACCAGAGCACCAAAGCTGAGGTCCAGGGAAACATCAGATGTAGCGCACACACTTGCATAGGTGATGTTTGCAAACACACAAAAAACAAACTCAAATTTTAGTTAAAAAATCACCCCAAATTAAGGGTATTTAAGAATTCTGGCTTAATAATTTATTGTAACACCTACAATATACCAAAACAAGTAAAAATGCTGATGTTAATGGATATTCACAGAAGTTCATGGCATCCACATGTTCTACTGGTGTTTTGCATTTCTGAGGCTGTGGAACCTTCAATTGCGTTAAATTTCTGTCTTCCGGAAATTTAACTTGCATTTTTATAACAGACATTTTTAGTTGTTACAGGTGCAAATACAGTCTTGAAGAAATTAGCAGGATATAGTCTTCACAAATGTGGAAACAGAGTGAAACAAAAGCGTTCAGAGATAATAACACGACAATTCTCCTTGACAGAAACATAGTAGGGATCACTAGGTTGACAGTGTTATTTACTCTGTGACCATTCTGTCAAAAACCTTGTCGTAAATAGATAATTTCACATTTCAAACCTAACTCCTTTGCAGTTTGCATGAGGATGCTGTAGTGTTTCACCAAGGAACTGCTATTTCAAGAACCTCTTCCCAGAGGATGAATCATACTTCTCCTCACAGGCCTGAGCTCAGTCCCCTGTGAAGGGCTACTG